GGCTCAGTAAATTTCTCCTATATCAGTGAGTTAAATAAGTGAGCCCACTGGGGCTGTGGAAGGGCCCAGTGAGCTGCAGAGCTTGGAGCAGAGGAGGAGTGATACCAGATGGCCAGAAGTGAGAAAGAGGGGGCGTTGAAGTTGGAGAAAGGTAAGAGCAACAACAGCAGACAGAGAGGATGGGAAGTGAGCTTTTGAGTACTAATGAGACATTAGATGCCTGTAAAGCCACAGTTTAACTTACCATTTGTAATTTTTCAAACAGAAGATTGCTGTGTGGTTTTATGGATTTTCAGGAGTGCATTCCAAATGCTGTGGAATCTTTTAATTCCATGGATGTTGCACTCTCTTTAAGACTTGTGGCTTTCTGCTGATTAATTCAGCAGATGAGAGAGTTGGAAGATCTTTCACATATTTGCATCTTCAGCCAAATAGCATTTCTTTTTCCCCAGAGATATCACAACATCATTTCTATAGCCTGGGAAGTAGTATCTCCTGAATTTTTCCTTTTTATAACCGTTGGCAGCCCGATCTCATCATATACCCAGCTAATACTGTATTTAGCTAGAGCTGCTGTAGCAGAACTTTTTCATGTATGCTGACAGTTCTTTGGGCACTTTTAGTCACAAAGCTCCCCTTTGTTTATGGCTTCACACCTTTCTAAAACACCCGATAAGGACTGTTGTGGATTTTGTGTAATAGGAGACCATGAAAATGGTATGAATAGACTACAGTGATGCATTGCACAGTTCAATTTAAGTATACACATCTTACAGGGAAGTTGCCAGGTTTGTGCAGGTACAACAATGAGGAGGTGATTGCTGCATTTGTTGGGAATAGCTCATGGATGGTCAGTTGTCATCTGCCTAGTAGGATTCAGGTTGAAATAATTACTTTTTCATTTCAGTTAACAAAGTTACTTCCAGTTGTACTTCAGCATTAGAAATAGTTCTTATTTTATGAACATTTCCCAAGTGCTATCCATACAAAGCCTGAAGAAGCTTACTGTAAAGCACTTTCTCCCTTAATTTCTTGTGCTTCTTTAAAAATTCTGCTCTTGGTTCTTCTCTTACTTCTATTTGACTGTTACTTAGTCCTGCTGCAGGCAACCTTCTGCTCATTGTTTATACACTTCTTCATTATTAAATTCCACCAACAATGGGTTTTGGAAAAAAAAATGTGGGGTTTGCAGGCAAAATACTTGGTATCACATATCTGATACTAGAGCAGCACTTTACAAATTACATGTTTCATGCTGACAAGTCTGTAGTTTATTAGCTTTCCTCCCTGCAGACCAGAGTGCTTTTTATTTCAGAGGCCTGTTAAGCCTTCCTGTGCAGCTGGGATCCCTTGGTGGGGTGTAGTAGTGGCTCCCTGAAAGCTCTGAGTTACTTAAGGAGTTCACAGCTTACAAAACTCCAGTGGGCAGCTCTGCTTATGGAGAGAGAAACGAGCAGCCAAGCAGTGGTGGTCTGGCTCCTCTTATCTCTAGCAAAGAGCAAGTTAGCAATTACTTTCACTATCACAGATGGTCTTCTGTTGAACTTGGCCCATCTTCTCTGCTTTCACTTTTTTAGTGCCTTCCTTAGATTTGAAGCTCAGGGAAATGTCCCTAGCTTTTTTCTTTTGGTGGTTCCACCCAAATATCTGTGAGTCATGAAAAAGTGGAACAGCTTCCTGCCCTGGCTGCCATGGTATCCAGCAGTGTTGCTATACACACAGTGCTGATGTAGCAAATGCTTATGGGGAGCTTTTTTGGAGGGTGGGAGGTGTTTCTTTGTCTTTGTATTACTGACTAAATTTTCTTGGAGTTTAAAAAAGAAAAATTGGAGGAACCATGCCACAAACTACATAGAATTGTGAGAAAAATATTCCAGTTTAGGAAAGTTCCTAACATAAATACAAGTGCTCATGAGCAAGGCAGAAATTCTCCAGTTACATTCTTAAATTTGCTTTTTAAAGGCAGAATACATGGAACATATGTCATTATCTCTGCAATGGACTATAAATCTTGTGATCCTGTATGAGTCCTCTGCTGTATGCAGCACCTCATGCTCCTGTTGTTTCCCACTTGTTTTTTGTTTCCCACCCATTACTTAGGAAGTAGCTTGAATAATTCCTTTCTTAAAAAAAAATAATAATTGCTCTAATTAAATTTCTATTCAGATGTATATCTTGCAAGTAGCTCTTAGAAATGAATATTTCTAGAAGATGTTTCATGAGTCAATTAAATTGAAAGTTCAAGGTAAAGTTCATGTAACTTAAAAATAAAAAGGGTTCTAAAAGAGAAGCTGTATTTATTCATGCCACCTACTAGATTCCATGAGGTATTATTCTCCTTACTATTCATGTTTTTGAAGACTAAAGGCTCTTCAAATACAGTTCTCATGCTAACTAGATTTCTGAAGGATAATTTTTGCAGGCTTTTGTTAATATGAGTAGGGCTCATTAAACAATATTAAAAGGAGGTGACAATATAGGACTGGAATGCATATTTTGAGAAGTGGTTGTTGAAAATGAGGCAAAAAAATCATAATTTCCTCACAATGGCTTTTAATTTGTGATGGGTTTTATGTATTGTGTGGTATATTATGAAGGTAATGAAAATTTGCTATGATTGAAAATTTAGTTCTGGCATTACCACTTAATTGCATTTTAAAGAAAAAAAAATCTCAGTGTACAAAATTCTTTACTCTGTAGAGACCTGTACAACTTTTAAAAAGTTAAGTGAAGGCAGTGCTTATTATGAAGAATATTCATTTTAACTTTCCCCCCTAGCTCTAGTTATAGTCCCAGAAGATATAGCAAAATGTTAAAGCTGTGAAATAACATTAAAATGCCATTTAATGTGTCAAGGGAAACTTTGTTTATTTTTTTTTTTCTCAGATAAAAAGACATGAATAAAAGCTTTTTCTTCTGTGGTGCTCACAGGTTTTCAAGTAGATGGAGCGGGCTGTTGCTTGCAGCAGATTATACCAGATGCCAAGTTGCCTAGGGATGTGTGCTTTGTTTGCTGGAGACAGGGCTTATTGTCTTGCCTCCAGGCATTAGGTTGAGTCTGTTAGACTATATAAGTAGTGATTTTTATCCTTTGAGTTAGTGGAGTGTCACATGGTGCTATGTGACATTTTTAGGTAAAGCATGAAGTCTGATTTTTATTTTCTTATTTTTTCTTGGATATGTAGTAGGCAACCTCCATTGAAGTTTTGCAAAACCCTTAAATGTTTACCACTGAAAGAAAAGAGGGATTACAGGTTTTGGAGACATGTTTTTACATTCTGTGCTGAAGAAATATAATAAATTAGCTTCTTATCATAGTTCTTTACCCACAGAAATATTATCAAGGAAGAGATGAAAAGGTGTGCATTTATATTATACACTCAGTGTGCAAGTAGAGGACCAACAAGGTTCTGTATGATGAATGTCTGAATATTTCCTTAAAGTCCCACTAAAACAAAATCAAATAACTTATGGGTATTTGCTGCATTTATATTGGATATGAGGTAACAGTGATAATCTATTTACTTGTTATTTCTCACTTGTGTTTGTTTCTTTCCATTAAAGTAACTCATTTTAGTGCAGCAGCCAACACAAGGTATTTAGGAAAATGGCCTGTGATCTCCTTTATTATTGCAATCTGTGTGTTATTTTGAGCTTTCATTTGAGCTGTAAATTGTAAACAGATTTGTCCATATAACAAGTGTGAGAATTCTGAGGACTGAAAGGAGTGAAAATTCTGAGCAGGGAAACTCTCTGTGGTACCACTCTGGGTTGGTCTGGGGGTTTTTTGTTAAAATTGCCTTTTGCTGGAGATGGACAGATACTCATTTAGTGTTCATGTGCTTGTTGAACATCACTTCCTTTAGTGCATTCATCTTGCAGACGGCTCAAGCAAGCTGAAGAGTATAAAATTGTCAACTTACCCACATATTGTGGATATTTTTTCTGAAAATTGTTGTGATGTGTCTTAGCCTATTCCAACATAATGGTAAACACTTCATGAATTCATACATTGCTGGAGAAAAGATCCAGGTTCCAGTTTGACAGGAGCCGTGATACAACATGCAACCATGAAAGATTGTTCTTGGAGCAACCCGTAATATGTTAGACCTAGCAAATCTCCTAATATTATTCAGCACTTTCCTTCTTCTGTGTTTTGCACGTTGTTAATGCAGTTTTTGTGTTGGTTAATGTGGTGATGGATGTTCAAAGTTGAATGGACATTGGCAGGTTTTGCATCTCACTGTTTTGTGTGTGGCTGCTAGTTCTGTGCAGAACTTCCATCAGTTCTGAGACTCAGTGCTGGCTTGATACTCACTGCTGAATTCAAAGTGAGCAAAAATGTTACTAATGAGATGAACGGTGTTAACCATTTCATCTTAGTGTTTTCATTTCCTGCCTGATGCTAAGGTAGTGTAAAAGTTAAGGAATAAAATAAGGTATCCAGACAAAGAGCTCAATATGCTTAAATACTGAAACATTTTAAAGTAACTCCATATTTTAAAGTAAATAAATGTTTTAAGTAGACATCAGAAGACTGATGTAACTGGTCAGTTCTGACTGGTGCTACATAAATGTGTCTGTTCTGAGCTAGGGGTTCCTGCCTGCATCCTGTCCTCTGTCCCTTGTATTCTGTGTAACTTCTTGAATCAATGTTAATTACTCTGTCCCATCTTTCTTGGCCAGTTTCTCTTCTACCATTTTGGCAAATAAAGTGAACTTGATTAGTGCTTTCAAGGTTGTGTTTTTGCCCAACATATGCAATGGTCATGGTCTCTGTACATACTCCCCAAACTGAACCAGGTGTGCTGTAGCTTCATATGGGGTTCTTTTGGTGTGTTGGTTTGTTTGGTTTCTGAGGCTCAGACATGCTCAAGTTGCTTCTGATTTGGCAAGGTCTTCACTGGGATTGTTTTCTGTTGTCACATGTATAATGTGATTGTGTTGAAGTTAAAAATGATAATTTAAAAAATATTGACACACTGTTTGTCTTTCTTTAGGAAAGCCCAAGAAGGGAAAAAGAAAGTTGTGCTAGCAGGCTGTGTACCACAAGCTCAACCTCGCCAGGAGTACCTGAAAGGCTTAAGTATTATAGGGGTATGTATCTTTAGAAATCAAAGGTTTTCATAAATATTTTCAGTAGGTCAATGTCAATATCTAGACTCTATTACCTTTCTCTGGGAAAAAATCAGCAGAGAAGCTTCCTGTCATGTGCCCCTCCTGCTCATCTTTTTGCATTACACAACATTTAAACCTTCCTTCAATTGAGGGTGATTTGATTTGGCTGTGGCAAAAGAGGGGAGAAAGAAAAGCATGCTGTTGTTGGAGCTGACTTCCAGTGCCCTTTGAAGCCTGGAAATTTCCAGGCTTGGTCCAGGATGAAGATATCAGTTACCATATTCTTAAGAATATCGCAGTTTATTTGCTCCAAGACAAACCTTAAGACCTTTGTTAAAATCAGTGGAAAAAGCAGAGGGGACTAAAGCATATGAATTACACAGACACAGATGAGGATTTCGTGGTTGTTTTTTTACTTCACACTATTAAGCAGAATGGAAAATAGAAATTATTATTTTGTTTAAATTTGAGGCAGTCTGAAGAGTTAAATCCACTGGTGACTGACTTGTTAAACAGTTACCAAGCTTTACCTCAAAAATGAAACCACAGAGCTTTGACTTAAGTAATAAAGTGTTTTCAGTGTTCTGTGGGATGTGGTACTACTGTATCATTGAATCACCTTTGGAAAAGAAAAAAGTAAAATGGGTGAATGGATTTCCTGTTTGCTCAGAGGCCACAAAGTTATTGATCCATAATTGGTTGTTATAGCCAGTATAATAATACCTACACATATGTAGACAGAGGGGACAAAAATGAGCAAGTCACTATCTTTTGACCAAGACTGTAATTCAATGTTTCAGTTTTGATGAATTTTAACCTATTAAAATTGGGAAGTTAGATTTTTTTTTAAACATTTTCCCCCTCTTTTTAAAAATTCTCTTTTAGGTAACATGTAATTTCTGAAAATTAACCTCTTCTCATCATCTTCATTTGAGTACCTAGAACCAGTGTTTCATGAAAAGTATTAGTAGTTTAGTATTTTTTACAGAAAGATTTCTGTTAGGAGATGAATTAGGTGTTAATGCAGTGTTCCCAAGTGCTTTGAAACTAGACCTGAAAATACTGAAATTTAGTCTTTGCAATAAGAACACTGTCCTCTGGCTGTCATTGCTGTGAAAAAATTTACTGTGCTTTGAATAAGAGATCCCTCAGCTCAGAAAGATCTCAACCTTGAGGCAAAACTATTAACAAAAACAAAGCTAAGAGAATGTTATTGTCTATGTTTTCAGTTTGTGCATTTAAGATTTTCTTCCCATTTTATAAAGAATGTGTGTGAGAGGGTGACTGTATTTAAAAGACAAGACTTGTTATCTTACTATTGCAAAATATTTTTGAAAGGCAGTTTTTGCAGAATTGAGAAATAGAAAATGTTTTGTTGGCGATAGGATATCGATTCTACTTTAAAATTTTGAGCATTAAGGGTACAGTTTTGAAAATCTTTTTTTTATACCAGGTTGGTTTTGTCTTCAACTTAGCTGAGAGACCTAGTTGATTTATTGTTGCTTATATAAGTTCTGCTATTTTCTATCCCCCTCCTTTTTTTTTCTCTTTTTCAATATTTATTTTAAAGACCATGTTGTCTGAGAATGTGTTTATTTACCATCAATTGGAACTCCCTCAGAGTGGCTTTCTAAAGGCAGTGTGTCAGAGGCTCTTCTGCTCCTCTTGTTAGGATGGAGGAGGAAACTGTGTTGTAACTACCAGAGAAATTCTAGTAAACCAGAGCTTGTTTTGATCTGTATTTGAAAAATACAGGACTGAACTTCCACTGTTCTTTTTTTATTGCCTGATTATTCCTTGGGCAGAAGGAAAGGAAGGGCAACTTCTTATCCTTCTTACCATTTGTGATGTTACTGTGCTTCTGTGTTTTTTTAAAATAATTGCTACTTTATAAACATAATGTGGGTTGAGGCCTTGCCATAGGCTGTGTGTGAGGCAAACCATAATGTGACATGACAAAGTGAAGGAGCTCTTTTGTGCAATGGGAAAATTCTAGGCAGTAATAAACCTGCCAAGGGTGTAAAGTACCTGAAGCACATAATAATGCATTACAGAGGTTCATAGCCAGTTCCCCTCTGGTGGTTTCCAAAGCTTATTCCTTTGTGTTTGTGGCATACTCGCTTCAAACTCAAGTGCTCGTGCAGTGCACAAAGAGACATCAACTCTCCTATGCAGTTATCCCTCACTTTTCATTTTTAGTTGCTGAGAAGTAACTAAAAAAAAAGTTACACCTAAAGTACGCATCCTAAGTACACCTAAGTTACACATCCTAAAGTAGGATGTGTGACTGTGCAGATTGTTTTGAGGGGATCATAGGGGAAGGAAAAGGAGAGACAAGGGGGAATGAAAGATTTAGCTGACAGGTTATGTTTTAGGACCCGTGAATGGATGTAGGTAATGGCAGTGTTTCCTCACTTCCTGAGCTGCATATAAGAACATGCAAAACCCTGGTTCCCAGTGATAGTTGAGCCATTGGAATGGGATATTTTATTTCATTGACATTTTCTGGAGTTTTAAGGTGCTTGATCTCCAAATGACGCTGTGTGTTGGACTCCCTGGTCAGGTTGCTGGGAGTTTATAGGTCTTAAGAGGCTTCACAAGGCCCGTGCATCCATACTTTGAAATCATCAGACTTGCTGTGCAGACTGAAAGCATGAGGCCTAATCCACATATGTATTCTGATAAAAGCATACAATAGCTCCACAGGTGAGTGAATCCTGAATGAGAACTCCAATTCTCCTTCCTTCTCTATCTTTCCCAGTGTAACATCTAGCATCAAAGACCAAGGGAAGAGTTTCTGCCTATTCTTTCATCTGCACAAACCCACACAAGCAAGCCAGTGTTGCAGCTCTGGAAGGCTGTAACCCTCCCCCCCCCTCCTTTGCTGCTGCTCTCTGAGTCAGAAGGTGCAGGTCCTGTGCATGGTAGGGCACTGCAGGCTCTTTGGCCAAGGTAAGCCTGAAGCCACTGCTTCCAGGAGAAATACATAGCTATGAAAGCCCTCTGCCAAGGCTCCTTGCATTGTCCTGACCTCCAACTAACCCTTTCCCTTGGCTATTCTACTGTATAAGGCAAGCCTTAAGTAATTTTCTTTTCATATCCAGTTTGAAACTCTGGAATGTGATTAGTGGGAGTGCTGAACGCTCCCAGCAGCAGCACATAACACTTGGAGCACTGCTATAAAGAGATGATGCAGCATAAAAAATGCTAAGTGCATTACAAAAAGCAAGCACTTTATTTCTCAAGCTGCACATCTGTAATTGGTATACACTTTTAAGTTTAATGTACCTTATTCCTTCATTTGTAAAATGCTCCAGTGAGCAAAGCTTTAGCAGTGCCATTGTGAAAGGAAATCACTGGAACTGTACCAAGATGCCAAGTGTCCATACATCCCTGCTGCTTTGGCCTCATAAATGAGGAAGATACATTGTATGGTATTTCTGTGGTTCAGGTCATAAAAGTTTTGATGATGTTTGCAAAACAGTGATAGTGATACTTGCCTACCTTGCAGTGTTTATAAGGCCAGACTGCATTCAAGATTGGGAGCCTGTCTGCTGCCCTTAAAACAGAGCCTTGCATGAAATGCACATATCCAATATGTACTTCATGAAAGCCAAATTTGATAGAATTTTACTCTGAATTATTTGAATTAGCAGAACTTCTTGGAAAGCATGCTGCAAACCTGGGAACAGGTGGATGCTCTTCTTCTGTAACTTATGGCTAAGAATGGCTTCATACAATTCTCAGCTGGTTAGCTTTGGCTTTTGAATTCCCAGGTTTATATTCATATAGGACACTTGAACTGGGAAAGCCAGAAAAGAGTGTCAGTTAAGCACCTGCTTTTAAACTGAAAATTGGATGTGCAAATAGAAAATGCTCATTTCTACAGCAGCTATGTACTATCCTATCAATCAAAGGGTGTAGCAATTAATTTAGATAAGAATTATCCTTCAGCTGTGTCAGTGTTTAGCAATGAAAATCAGTTGTTTACGTGCATCTCTGGGGTAGTTCCCTTCCCTTTAAAGTTTGTGTAGATCCTCCTCTCAGGATACATTCCTAACCCAGAATAATGCCCATTTGGTCAGTATTGTCAGCAAAGGTTTTAAACACAGATGTTATCCCTCTGAAGCCAGGGTGGCTATAGTCACATGCCTTTTGAAGTTATGTACTAAGCCCTAGATTTATCTTGCCTAAGTGCTGTAATTTGAGAGTCTGTTTTGTTCAGCTCTCTTTATGGTCAATGAAGATAATTATCTCTAAAATAATTTAGATTTTTAGAAGACCTGAGGTGCCTTTTGAAGCCATGTATTTCCCTTTTTACTGGCTTTAGAGAGGGGATAGGCTGAGTAGTCTTTTAACATCCAGCATTTGGCAGAGATCCCTTAACAAGGTGAGATGAAACAGAGTTGGTGAGCTGGAGTTAAAATCTTCAGAATTATAAATAGCATGTTCTAATTACCTAAGATAGACTATTTTATCTGTGTAGTGACCATTTTGTTTCTTAACTATGTCAATGAGGATCAATGTATAGGGTTTCTTCAAGATGAGAAAAAAAGATTGTTTTACTTGAAGCAGCTCTGTATAGATATTATGCTCACTCCTAGGGTGATCATATTGGAAAAATTTCTTTGTTTAAAGGATGATCATGCATTGGACCAGACTACTCAGGGAAATGGTTGAGTCACAATCCTTGGAGGTATTTAAAAGTCATGTAGATGTGGTGCTTAGGGATATGGTTTAGTGGGGGGCTTGGCAGTGCTGGGTTATTATGAATACAAATGATTGCTGAGCTGCACTTAGGCCTAGTTCTGATCCCACCAGGAAGGGTCAAAGATTTTTTCTGGCCTTTGTTTCAACTCAGCCTTCGTGCTTTGATAAAACTCTCTTTATCCTTGCTTTTTCACCAGACAGTTCCCTGCTTTGGCTGCTCTTCCATGGATTCATGAACCTTGCCTTGCTCTTGGCCTGTATCAATCTCAGCCCAGATTTCTGCACCAGCCCTGATTTGTGGTGGTTGAGTGTTTTGTTTCTTGTTTTTCTTTTTGCACAGTTCCCCTCCCAGTTGACAGCTGTCAACTCTGTTCTGTCTGTGGCTCTTGTTCTGTTCACCTCCCAGTGGAGAACCATTTGAAGTGGACATTAAGTCAGAAATGTACCTAACTATGCTGGAACCAAGGTCCCACAAGATCTGTGGAACCAAGTGAGGCGCACTAACCACACCCAGGAGCGGTGTCCTGCCGTCAGTCCTGGGGGGTTGGTTTTTTGAGACATTCTGCAAAAAATTGTTGAGGAATGGTGTCATTTCCCTTCATACACCACCAGGATGTCTCTGTGCTTCATGGACTTCCTGATGCCTGATGGAGAGAGACATTATTGGAGCTCTGCTATGAAGGTTTATACATATCTTTGATACCAGTCTAGAGCAGAATTATCCATAAGGTTAGTGAGATGTGAGGAAAAGCATCCACCAGACCTTTATATTTTCAAGAAAATTTCATTACTATAACTTTGTAATTTTTTTTTCCTTTTTCATTCCACCCCCCCCCCCCCCCCGCCCAGCTTTTTTTTTCCCAAATAAGAATTTTATAAATCTTTCCCTCTTTTCACTTCATGTTCACCTCACATTTTCTAAGATACTTTTATCTTCATAAATGCAGACTGGAAGCATTCCACATTTTCTTCTTGAGCACTTGGGGCTTTAGCCAAATAATTTCAAATGAAAAATATTTAATGTGGGAAATAACATGTAAGGCAGAACAAATATCCATTTCTAGAAGATCTCATTATATCTCAGACCTATAATTTTAATTACTTACATGAGCCATCTTCTTGACAGACATATTGAGAATAATTTAATTTATCCAATAAAATGAAGATGCAATATAATGGTTGGTGGTTTTTTTCTGTCTTTATTCAACAGGGGATTTGGAGCAATGCAAAAATTCCTCAGATGCACAATGCAGAAAGTAATTGGTAGCTCAGGTTATGAACCACCCAGATTTCTCATATTTTGAATTATTAAAATGGTCATGAACTTAAAACAGTCTAGTACTGAGACATATAGCAATAATATTTTAGGTAATATAACACAGACTTCACTCCCTGTCTGTAGTGTAGTTTTAAGTGTGCACACTTCTATTTTCAAATGGACTTTTTCTATTTATTTTTTAAACATTTAGTAGAAAGTATATATGTTAAATATCTTGAGTCATAGTTTTTAAAACTACACCCAAAATGGATGTGTACACAAGTATGTAAATATGCATGTGTTCCATATGACTGCTTATGTGTGCTTTATTTATAAGTTGATTGCTAGATATGTATGTCTGTAATGTGAATGCTTGTGATTCAGAAAATTATTTAAATACATTTATTTTTCAATAAAATTATTAAACTGGAGATATTAGGAATACTGTAACTTAATTTCTAGAATTCTTAACTAATATACTGTATTAAATAATCTGAGATGGTGGACATCCCTATTTTAAAATCTGTATTTCAAAAGGTAAAAAAAAAAGAAAATAAAAAGAAAAATACTTTTACATGGACTTGATCCAACACTCAGACAAGGAAAGGAATTGACTCCCACTGACTTCAGCTGGGAAATTAAAATCAGACTCCAGCTATAGGTGAGCTTTTTTTAACTTCTACTAGACAGATTGGAAAAATGAATGTGAAGCAGACAAGATTGTGCAGTCTTGTGTTTACAGGAGATGACAAGCTCAGTGGTTTAGGGCAGAGAGACTTAATGGCTTTGATATGAGGGACCCAAGTTCCAGGCTCCTTGTTGCAGACCAGGCTCTTCTCTTGAAGCCTCTGCAACTTGTGCTTTTCTGCTTGTTTTGGAAAAAAGTTGGAAAACAATCTCCAAGGAAAAGACTGCTAAATTCATACTACATCTAGTTAATGTAATGTACAGCTTAGAGAAGTAGTGTTTAAAAAGGAATAATGCGGAAAAATTGCAAACAAACTTAAGTATGGCAAGTTGGCTTTTCTGCATTGTATATAAATGTAGAATTGTATGTAGAGTAGAATTGCACAGAATAGTGGTTTGGATGAAAGCTCTGGAGAGAACCTCAGCTTCAAGAATTCCTGAGTGTTTAATTTTGTAGTGTTAATGTTGATTCCTTTTAGTTTATATTCCAAAATCTCTACAATGTGTTGGCCATTGACTTTATTTAAAGACTGATATATCTATTAAGAAATAATTGAACTGTTTATCTCATTATTGGTGAATTTTGGCAAATATAGCATTAAATTTATTGTCTTTGTTGCAGACATTCTATAAAAGTAATTAAAGATTATTCTGTGTTGTGGACAGCATGAGGGCTTTTCTCTCCATTTCCAAACACAGCCTGCATCACCTTCAGGAGAATGTCTTGTTCTTTTAAATTTCACAACAGTATTTTTAATTTCTTCCCCCTCTAGTACCTCATTCATTTTCTCCCCTATATTCTGCCCTAACAATATCCTCAGCTTTTTGTTGTGTTCTCCACCATCCACTATTTTGCTGTGGAGACTGGGGTGAGGGAGCACTTTGGCTGTTTGAGCCATCCAGGTGGTGAGTGCCTGGTTCACCATTGTCTGCCACAAACCATGAACAGCACTTAAGGCCTGAACACTTTTCTAGCAATTCGGTGATTTTTGCCAAACTCATGGGAGCTTGCCATTTTTAAGGACAAAATTTGGTTTAAATTAGGTGGTAAATTTTAAAGTTACTTTTGGCAGATTGACCAAGATCCACAGAAAATTAAAACTGGCTAAAAACACAGCTCAAAATTCTTTACTCCCCCTTAATCCAGAAGAAGACACTCTTGAAAGACTAGTTAATATGAAAGTATGTCCAGTTGTTGACTACTTAGGTATTTACCTTCTGACTTTTTTTAGGTTCAGCAGATAGATCGTGTAGTAGAAGTTGTGGAGGAAACTATTAAAGGTAAGCATCACACTTGAACTAATTGCAGCTAGTTGGAAACATGTAAGCTTTAGCAGAAGTGCTGCTGGTGCATTCTTTTTCACCCTAACTCTTGCTTTGTGCTCCAGCTGAATGTTTGGGCAGTGCTATACTTTGTCATGTATGCTTTGTATAAGTGGTAATTTCAGAGTGTTTTCTGTCAGGAGCTCTGTGGGCTGGTGGTTTCGTAGGTAAATGATCAAGAGGAGACATCAAGAAATCATTTCATCGGTGTAGGTTGGTGTAGAGTATTTCTCCTGCACTATTTTAATTGAGTGTTACACTTCTACTTTCTTATGTTTAGTTCTCTGGTATTTTCTTCTTTTCCAATGTTTTGGCTTACCTCCCTGAGCTCTTCTCAGCCGGGCACATAAATTATCTTCTGGTTTAATGTTCTTTTGTAACTCTGTTCCTTGTTCTCTCTGGCTTTGATCGTGTGTGTACTCTTAGTACTTTGCAGCAAAGGAGGGAAAAAACCCAGTATTGTTTCTGCAGCCTGACCAGTAAACATTTGCTGTTAAATAAATATATTTGTCTGGGTCTTTCTGGGTTACCTAAGTTTGTCTCCTTTACTTATCAGGCCATAAAAATTACTGTTCCATGAAGCTTTAAATTACAAGTTTTAGTTTAATTGTCTGTACTTTCAATATAAACAAGTGTCTAGTCCACAAGACATTGTCAGTAACTTTATTGCTGGAATACAATTTTTTTTGCACTAAAGCATGAAAGTTTAAAGCAGTGCAAATTTTTAAAAGGAAAAAAATCTTCTATCATGAAATTGTGTAGTGTGGTGTAAAGTTTCTGGAGCTTGTGGTTTGAAGGCCTTGAGATTTCATGTTGCTTTGAATGCTTTCAGGAATGAAACCGGTATTTTAATGTACTCCCAACCAAAATTTTCCCCAGATTATTCTTTACTTATGGCATCTATTTTTGGGGGGTAGAGCCTACTTTTCCATACAAACAAAGAAGAAATATATTCAGTACATATTTTTTATTTAATAAGGCAAACTCTTTCCCCAGAAGCATCATGGTGTTCATGACAATATGTTGGAAATAACGATGCTTCATGATTTTTACAAGAGTATTTTAGATCCCTATCTGCTTTTGCCCAAATTTTATTAGTTTTTAATGGAGTAAGATGATAACCTGGGTCAGCATGCCCTCCCTTGACAAAAATGGGGTTTGTAATATTTATACTGACTCCAGATATTACTGCTTTTTTGATAACATAATTACTCAGGTTATGGTGACTGAATGTTAAAGAGTCCAAATAATCTAGTAGCAGCTGTTAAAATAATGATTTTCACCAAATGGATTTTTAGATTGCATTTTAAACATTGATATAATGCTGGAAAATAATGTTCATAGGAATGTTAGTGAACATTTAAACTTTAAAAGTGTGAATTTTTGGAAAGATTTTTATTCCTTTCTAGCTTACTAAAAGTGATTTGAATTAGAAGGAGAAAGTGAGCTGCTGAATTCCATACATAGTGCCAATTCCATCAGGGATTTCCCGAAAGGTAATGGAACACAGGATTTCTGGAGTTTCATTGGAAAAAAATGAATGAAAACCAGCTCTCTGTTTTGAGAGAGACATTGACATACTGGAGAGAGTCAAACAGAGATGGTTAAGAGACTGAGACTGGATAATTCCTCCTCATAGGAGAGCCTGGGAAGGCTCAGGGAAAGGGAATCACATCAAAATATATAAATACCTGAAAAGAGTGTGCAGAGAGAAGTGAGACAGACTCTTTTCAGTGGTGCCCACAGACAGGACCAGAGGCACAGGCACAAAAAAGCAGAGGAGATTCCCTCCAAACACCAGGAAACGCATTTTGACTGTGAGGATGACCAAACCCTGGCTCAGGTTACTGAGGGAGCTGGTAGAGACTCTATTCCTGGCTGTATTCAAGTCCTGTGGACATGGTCCTGGGGACCTGGCGCTCAGTGGCTGTCCTTGGGTGAGGGGGCTGGATAAAGTGGTCTCCAGAGGTTCTTTCCAGCTGTAACCCATCTGTGGCAATCAAATTGCATTTGGAAGAAGAATGAAGTTGGCAGAGATCGTAGGATAATGGCTTGCTTTGGTAAAAGCTAGCCATAAAAATAGGAGCTTTTACTTACATTTATTTAATTTACTTCAATAAGCTGCATTATTTTATGTATTTTGGAATCATCTACTAATGCAGAAGAATGTGAAGCTCTTTTTCATTGTGTTTTATGAAGAGTGTGTGAACTTCCATTATCCAAGTGAAGTAAAATACTGTAGATAACAGGACTGTTGATTAGAATATTTTATTATATAAAATAGATACATGGTAGAAGATTAAATTAGTGTTAGATCAAATGAAATGTAACCCTTTGTTTTCATGAGTCTACATCATTGGCAACAGCTTCTGAAGCTGCTTTTGCTTTCAGGAGATTGAGGTGATGTGGGACAGGGGATTAAATATGAATTCTGAATTCAGAGGCAGCTTACACCTGTGACTTTTAAGCTGAGTGTCTCTCATAGCTCTACAACAAAATTCTTTTCACTTTTTTTTTTTTAAGAAAAGCTAAAGGTTGCATGGGTGATATACTCTTGTAGTGTGGTTATGTATACACTGAAAGCTTCAAAAATACGATATACCGAATGTTTAAAAAAAATTTGATTGAATAAGTGGAACTTCATAGTGTCTCTGCTCTGTAGGACAGCTCTGTAGATTGGTCAGCCTAACTGAGTTGTCTGGATTTTCTGGCCAAATACCAAGGTGGAAACAGGTTACCCTGATGCTAGTTTTAAGTCTAAAAGTCTGGCTTTCCCTGGCTTCCCATTTCTTAAGTGGTACCTAAGTTTTTTTCGTGGATGCTTGAATTTTGTAGTACACAGTTTACAAAAAGGGAAAGTTTGCAGAAAGAATTTTTTTCCTTATCTTTTATTTTTTTTTTCTAATAGTCATCTTTTCAGTTTTTCATGAAAATGGCTTCCCTGTTGGATTTGGTTGAAAGCTTGCTGCACTCCCAATGTAAATTGATTTCTTGGAATTATTTAGAACTCTTTGTATGAAATATGAAAGGGTTTCTTCTAGCTTTATTTTTCAGTCTTAAGGGCATTGTCCGGAAGACCTTTTCAGAGCAATTCCATTCTGCTGGGTCAAGAGATGGTAGTTTCAAGAAATATATCTTTGTGGTGGTCTTTACCACATACATGTGAAGTCAGTGTAATTGTTAGTTCCCAACTCTCCATCGAGATAATTCTGATAAACACTTACGTGACTTTATCTTTCTATCCTGTTTCATCAGAAAATGGAAAAGAAGGATGTGCACATTTGTTGTTGCACTGACAGTTAAAAGAGAGAGAGAAAGAGAGACTTTTAAGATGCTTAGTGATTTCTCATTTTTATGCCATCCTAACTTTTATCACAAGTGTTGAATTGAATCTTTGAAATTTCCTAATTAGCAGGTAAATTAGAGGTAAATTGTCACTTCCAGAAGCAATCTTCAATAGCAGTGCAGTATTTGTATGCAGGTCATGTCTAATTAATATTTATACTGTGTCCCAAGATATATCTTAACTAGAGGCATCTTCAGGTACTTTTCATATGATATGGTAATTTATAATCTGAAACCTCTATACTGCTTGTGAGGAACTAGACAAAATAATTCATTGACAGTCTCAAAACTGAGTTTCTCAAAGTGACGGCCACAATTGTGTAGCCAGTGTGTCTCTCATTCTTCCTGATAGAACAGAATGATCTTGTCATGCAGGGCTCTGATTTAACAGTTCAGTAAACCTTGCTTCATCTGTACGTTTTCCAAATTTTAAGTCTGGATTACAGCAATTTTTACAACATTAGGGCAACATACCCACTCCATATGCTTAGTTTTCCAGTAAGGTGTTATGATGACATAGAATGTCAGGAAAATATTGCTAGGGAGTTGTGGTGTCTGTGAGCTAGGTGAAAACAGGCCTATAATTGATGTATGTTGCATCACTTAGTAAAATTTCTGTATAGAATATAAAAGTTATTTGGGATGACCAGTTTCTATGGTATGCTCCAAAAAGCTGAAGATTTGTCTTTGGAACTGCAGAACATCTTTATGGTGACTACTCAAGTCAGCTTTTTATGAATCACTCTAAAATCTGTCTTTAAAAAAAGCCTGTGTATGTATACAAGCTTGGCTATAAACAGTTTACAGTAGGCAAGAGAATAAATTTCTTCTATATTTTAAAGGAAAAATGTTAACTGCTTAATGGAGAAATTCTTCTTTTCTGGCTTTGAATTTAGGTCTTTCCCCCTTCCTTTCTAGACATGCTCTCAAATCTCATGTTATTAAGGGTTTGTGGGGGTGAGAGATGTGGGACTCAGAGTATTTGTGTACAGTCTGCTTTTAGCTTAGGCCTTAGGGAGATGAGGGACATAGTTTGAATTGAGTTTTGTCCATATTGTGTCTGTCTAATGCTTTCACAAAACATAGTTTTACAATGGGTCATTAGACCTGATTATAAAAAACAACCAAAGGAAATTACTTCAGGGTTGAGCCCTTTATACTTAACATAACCTTTCTCAGTTTCAGTCACGTTGACCTGTCTGGTGAAGTTGTCCATCCATTCCCAGTTTAAACATTGACCATTATTTGCTCAACTGTTTAATTGTCCTCATGTGGTTAGCAGGATTCATGATAGTTGCAGTCTCTGTATGAAAAAGGGATAAACAGTACCTATATTATATATAGGCTCAAGTGTAGAATATATACTGGATTGTCCACCTGACAGTGAGTGTGTGTGTATATGTGCTTATCTGTACGTGTATGAATGCCGGAGTGTTAAACAGTGTTTGTATGTGCTGCTTGATTTCACTAGAATCTGCTGGTAACAGTAGATAAAATAGACTATTTTCAATTTCTATGACTGTGGGAAGAGTAGCCTTGAGAAGTTGATGACAGGCCAAATTGAAGAATAAAAATTGGAGGAGTCAGGAGTTCCTATTTGAGGAAAAGTATCA